ATCTTGGCTGATTATAGTATTAAAAAACCTGGCTGTTAAAGGAAGCAGAAATTTGCTGTGGCTGGGAGAGGGAGAGGAGAAGAGAAGGAACCTTTGTGACTGCACATGCTTCCATTAGTAGCATTATACAGTTGCTGTTACTGCTTCTATTCACCATCCATCTGCAGCTATCTAAGCTTGTTTGAGCAGCTCTGCAGAACACGATCCTGCTTTGGGAGCGGGGAGCGTATATAGAGCTTGCAGAACAAGGAGATGGTCTCACAAGGGGTGTAGCACTGGGATGTGAAGTTTGCACAGCTCATAACATGATTTCTTTCATCCCTCCCTACTCTGCCTTCCCCCTTAGCTGTGCCTCTAAGGCAAAGCATATGTTATTAGCCAGTCTGCTCCAGACAGATAGCATTACCAGACCAGAGAGTGCTGCATCCCAGGTGAGCGCCAGGAACTCTGTGCAACTGCATGATGGCAACCTCCTGTGAAGCCTTCAGCAACCTCTTCAGTGTGGGACTGACCTTTCGGCACACCCTGTAGCCTACGTATCAGGGAGGCCAAGGAACCTGGTGATGGGTGAAACTGCTGGCATAAACTTAAAGGGGCAGTTTCCTATCCCCAGGAGAGAAGCTGAGGAACAGAAGGTTAGAGGGAAGAACAACAGCGAAAAAACCCATCTTTGCTCTCCAAAACCCAATTCAACCCTCCCAGCTCAGCATATGTATTAGCATCACAACACTTCCCTTGGCACCAGGACAATGAGCGAGCCAAGAGGGCATGGCCAGCACTATTGCAGGTACTCAGCTAAAGGGCGGGCACAGAGCAAAGCTAATATTGAGCAAAGATTTGGATGGGCTCTGCTTGCTTGCAGGATCATGAGGCAGTATTCCTAAGAAAAGCAAGGCTTAGCACCCTGCAATGAAGACAACAGAAATATCTCTCTTACTTAAAAAGAAAAGCTTTATTTTGATACATTAAAAAATCTATACATTTCTTAGACTAAAATACAGTTTTGCATCAGTATCCTGGCACAATGTCAGTTTACACAGAAAATCTAAGATTAGATCAGCACTGTTAATTTCCTTTCTCTTCCTGCATTCACAGCTTGCAGTATAAAACATTTCAGATTCTCAAGACAACAATAAACAGTGTCACATTTACTTTTCCCATTCCCAAAGGAGGTGGCATTCCACTGGAAAAAGGAGCACCTGTGAGTTGATCTTGATTCAATGTAAATCACTAAGCCAGTCCAGGGGTTTGATTGCCCTGTTCAAAGTATGAGTGAAAGATGATGAAAAATTTATTTGCAGATGAAGCTTTGATAGACAATGCAAGTACTGTCAAGCCTTTAAAATCTGTTCAGAAGATTTTCCGTTTTCCTTAGGTATCTGCTATAATCAGCAACACCATCCACCATACAGAAGTAACTCCTTTCTATGGGTATAGGATTCCACATTCTCTCTTGCTCTGAAGAGCTCCAGAGCAAAATAAAAGCAGGGCAACAGGGGATGCTGCTGTGAGATGTCTGTGAATCGAAATGCGATTTTTCTTAAGTACTGTGAAAAACCTGTGGAACATTTTCTACCTGTGAAATCCTGCTCTCCATGGCCCCACCTAACCTCTGACAGCTGCTTTCTGGCCGACATGGGAAACAAACCCACCTTTCTTTTTTCTTCTCCCTCACTTCCCTGTGAGACACTACAACATAGTCAGCAGCACTCTTTCTCTCATGAGAGGGATTCTCCCTTTTCAGTCAGAGCAGGGCAGGACCCAACCAATACTGAGACTGGAGCACACACAGTACTTATTTGAGAATTAGAAACTGTGCAGTGAATGCTCAACTTCTGCTGGGTTTCATGACTGGCAGCTTCCTAATCCCCCCAGACCTGTCTGAAAGACTCCCTAGCTGCTCCTATTTCACTCAAATAAGAGGGAAGTGGTGGTTCACTTGAGGAATGGTAGTCACCTGTGCTGCCAGCATCTTCCATCAAATACACAAAGAAGCCAGCTCTCTGTGTTACTGGAATTAGGCTAGTTCTTCTTTTGCTCTCAATTCTTGCAACTTTGGTTCTAAGGGGAGTCCCATATTTGTTCTATAGAAAAGTACCAAATGCTTAAAAGACTTAACTCATCATACTCGGGTATGACAGCTAGACCTCAGGGGAGCAGAATCTGATGGTGTTTACCAGTTTTCCGTTAGTTCTGTTTTAACAGATCTCTGTCAAATGAATGCCAGGCAGTTTAGCCTCCAAATGGGTGGTTTTAGGTGGATTCATGCTACCTATTGTCCCTAGAAATATTTTCATAATTCATATATCTCTGAAGAGCTTTGGCTTGATTGCATTATCTTGCAAACACTGCAAGACACATCACAGCGCCATCCCAGATCAGAAATTCTGCCTTTTATACATGACCCACATCACAAGGCAAGTTTCATCTCATCCCTCATCTCTCCAAATATAAAAGAATAAAAATACCTTGAGAACAGTATTTGCTACAGAACACAAGAAATACAGTCTTACTAGTCTCCATTATATTTTGTTATGTGATGGAAGTAACAGCAGAGATGAAGTAGTTGAAAGAGCATTTGAAAATGAAATATTTAGAGTAAATTTCCATCACCCCAACAAGCAAGCTGAGTGCAAGAAATGCTTCAAATAAGCCTATTGGGTTTTGTTTTGGGAATCACAAGGGGTTTTTTTCCACAAAGAGGAAATAGGATTTCTGTGGTGATAATGTATCACACAAGCTGTTCAAGAAACAATGGACTAGTGATGTTTAGATATAGTAAATAGTATCTGCACAGGCAAAGCCATGATTTAAAAACAGGAATGTTGTTAGGTATCTACTTTTAAATCTTAAGATTGTTTCTTAGAATGACTGTGCCATGTTCAATACAGCATGTAAATATGCACTCAGAAGCAAATGATCACTGGATGGTGATGATAAGTCTGTGTCTGCTACATGCATTTTATTCTGACTCTATAACATACATTCATAGAATACATTATAACCACTCAGAGCAAACCACTAAAGTGCATGCCCCGAGGGCACATTAAATATGTTGTCTCGAACACTGGCTGCTTAATTGCCAGAACACTGATACAGAAAGGGCTCATTTTTGCTTTATATCCCCATTTTGTGCTGAAAGAGTAAGAGCTAGCATCCCCTGCTCCCTCAGTGAAAGGGAGCACTGTGGAGCAGGCTACTTGCCTGCGGCAAAAAAAGCCCTTTCAGAAAGAAGTAACCACCCTGAGAAGGTGCTATACAGAAATGCAGGGAGCAAGTCTCAGATTAACTCTTGGGTAAGTGGACCTGTGTACTGGGTTAGGCTGGGATGGAGTTAATTCACAGCAGTCTGCATGGTGCTGTGGTCTAGATTTTTGACCAAAACAGTGTTGACTAACACAACAGTGTTTTACCTGTTGCTGATCAGTGCTTGCAGAGGGTCAAAGCCACCTATTTCTCACTCTGCCACGCCAGCAGAGCAGGCTGAGGTTGGGCAAGAGGGTGTGATGGCACATAGCCAGGACAACTGACCTGAACAGACTGAAGAAATATTCCATACCATACAATGCCATACTCAGCAATAAAGCTGGGGTGTGTGTGTGTGTGTGTGTGTGTGTGGTTCCAAAGTAGCTGTTGCTTGGGCATGGTCTGCTGGTGGGAGGCGGTGAGTGACTGCCTTTGCATCACTTAGGATTCTTTTCTTTGAACTATCTAGACACTTTTTGTCCTTCCAATACTCTCTCCCGTCCTGCCGGGGTATTGAGCAAGCAACAGAGCAGGGGCTTATCTGCCACCCAGGGTCAACCCACTACAGTGTGTAACTGGGATTTTAAGTTCTCCCTTCTGTCTGGGACATGCTTTCCTAATGGAGAAAGTCCTTGGGTTACTATGCCAAGCTAAGGCCACATGTAAAAACCCATCCTGTTTTTGGCAGCTAGGAGTGTGAACATAAGCTACAGAAAAGCTGAATAAGCAATTCTAAGGTGACCATACCGTATGTTTAAATCTAGAGCAGCACTGAAACTGTAAAAGTGATGAGATGCACTCCTAATGACAGCAAGCACAGTGATGGAGTGATAACATACAAAACAAAAACCCACCTCAGAACTTCAGGTCAGCACCTACTACCCCTCCCAAATCAGTCCTGAATCACCCTGAATCATTGCCTCAGGAAGGTGAGAAGGCATGTGCTAAGGTCAGTGGAACAAAGTGGCTGAAACTTGGCCACTTGGAACTCGTTGCTGGAAGAGCAGTACAGAAATAAGACCTAAAAGAACATAGTTCCCTAGGGCTGGAAGAGCAATAAAGATGACACTGTTGCTCAACTTCCAAATAAGAGAGTAAAATAATGCAGAAAATATGTAAACGATTTAAAGAATGGTATGCTTTTTTCTTTTAAAACCTAGTTATCAAAGGCTACAAAGCAGACCATTTGGAGGAACCAAATACTGGGAACCAGCAATCCCATTGGCTTAATTTTTAAACCCAAATTGGCCATACTGAATCTCCAGTCCTCAAGAACTAAGTCCACAAGTTCAGTGGACTTCCCAAGGAGATGATTTCTCTGTCTCAGCTGTCTTACCTGCTTCTCCTGCAGTCTTATTCCCAGGGCAGCATCACTGTCTAGTTAGCCTAGACTGCTTCCCACAAAACAGTCCATATACTGGCTTTAATAACCAGCTGGCAAAAAACAGTATTTAATCCATCACAACTGGCAGACCCCAGCACCTCTACGGCCAACTAGCGATTTACGTGTCAAGTGTTCTCCCACTCCACTATCCCTACTAGGGAAGGAAAGCAGAGTCTAAACTTGTCCTGAAAAGTTGTCTCTTCAGATGTCAGTCTTCTGCTTGCACAAGACAGATATGGAAGAGGGCAGTTTGTAGTCTGTTTGCAAACGAACCTCAAAGGATATTCAAAAAGCTTAAAGGGCCACTGGAAAGCCTGCATGTGGATGGAATGCCTTTTTGGCATCACTGAAAAGCTCTGCATGCTGGATATACACTCAAGAATGGTGCACACAATTTTATTAAGAACTTGGTAACGATATAGATTTGCCACTTAAACATTACAACTACCCATAGAAAAGTGTTGCCTGTATCTTTTAAACACCATGTAAATAAAACAAATTTATTTTTAAAACAGGATAAACTGCTATAAAAATGGTGCACAGTCAAGTAATACAAAAATACAAAATTTGTTTCCAACTGCAGTTCTAGTTGCAATTACAGAGGAAAACACCCACCCAGGACTTCCAGCGAGCAGAGAACACAAACTTGTGGAACTGGTCATAGCAGAAATTTGTCGTCAAAATGAGCAAAATTCAAGGCTTCAATCAAAGCACCTTCAATAATTTCCAAACAAGATGGAAATTAGTTTCTCTGGAAGCAACTGGGTATATGAAAAATCTCTTGGCCTTGGAATTCAGTTTCTAAGGTTCATCTAAGCCAGCTTGTAAATTTCTGTTGCTAACCCCCATTGATACACACAAATATCGGTGCTCAGTGCCACTGCTGTCTTACACATTGGTACAGCAAGAATGTCTCCTCTCCACAAACTTAAGGCTGCTGAAGTGCTTCTTCTAGATAGCCTGATCTCTAAGTTGAAGTGAGAGGCCTCTCCCGTGTTCCAGTCTGAATCCCTAGGTTGAAGCTCTAGGCCAGTAAGCAGTTACATGGATGAGTAACTTAAACAACTTTCTCCTGACATCAGTGGAGCTACCGATTTGGTTTACTTAACTAAGTGTCTAAGAGCTTGCAGGATTGGATAATTCTGTCTCCCTGCCTCCCCAGCAGCTATCATTTGCAAATGTAGTTTTACTTTCGCATAGTTTGGGTTCTGGGATATGAAAAGAGTAAATCCTTTTAATTGGGTTACTGAAAGAAAGCTACACAAATTTATCAAATGATTTATAGAAGCAGGAGTGAAATATTTCACTGTTGCCAAAAGGTAAAGAGCACTGGTTAGCTACATGGTACCATGTATTTTTTAAACCTTCGGCAGCAATTTAAAAGTCTGATCCTCTGAAAGGAAGCACAGATAACTGCTTACTTATTAAACCTTTGTAAGACGAGTTGTGCATGTCTCTAGCTAGACATACCACTCCACTCCATTGCAAACCTTCTGTAGAAGGGCTTTTCTCTTCCAAAAGATTTTCTTGAATGGAGTGATCGAACCATCGAGGCATTATTCATTTGTACAGAGCTCGTATTTAGTGCAATAAGTTTAAAAATTCTGCTCTGAAATATTAATTTTACATTAACAAAAATAGTTTTCTTAAAAAAATTGTAACAAAAGGAGTTTATAGCATAGACACAATCATGAATTCTTAGCAAATACACTTCTAAGCATTTACCATTACAGTATGCCAAACAATTTAATATAGCATTTGTATCTGGTGAGCTTCCAGACTGAAAAGAAATATAAGTATCTAATAATAATAAAAAAGCATGTTCTTTTCTTATTATTTGATAACTTTAGATAACTATCCTGGCAGTTACACTTCTAAATAAATGTTTGTCTGCCCTTTCCTGTTTTAGCCACCCGCTACAGTACACACAAATATGGATGAAATGACAGGTAAGGAGCAGTCCCTTCCTCCTCCCAGAGCTCTCCAGCATTGAATGAAATGAAGCATACAGTACTTTTTTGTACAGGTGTACAGTCCATTTCTCTTTCCATCCTCAGCACCTTTATCTCTAGTCATGAATTAATGATGAGTATGACTAAGACTGAGCTTTAACAATGTTATTTCAGTTGTTTCATATGGAGAATTCATACCCTTCAAAGGAGCACTGCTGAAGTGTGAAGAAGGCTACTGAACTCAAGGGGAGGATAGACGGCAATGGGTATGAGGAGTAAGTAGGGTAAAACAGGAAGTTAATTGCATATAAAAATTATCTGTCCCCATTTTGTAGTTTCTGTTTAATAGGAGATGCAAGGGCTCCCACACACCTGAATACCTGAGGAGTTGGTTATTGTGATATCTGATGCTGATAAAACAAAACTATGCCCAACCAGGGCTGAAAAGTAAAATGACTGCTTTCAAACCTGTTCAATTTTAATGAACTCTCACTGAAACCACCTTCTGAAAAACAAAATTTGAGACTTTTCTTGATTTGAAGGTTTTCCTTGCATATAACTGTCCTGACTTTAATGCAGATTTAAACAAATTAAGCACGTAAAACTCTCACCACATTAGCAGTGTCATGGGAAATCTCTCTCTACACCAGTCATCATTTCAGATTATCTTTACAATGATACCTCCTCCAGATTGTAAAATATCAGGCAGATAAGAATCAACATTTCCATGACCACAATGAATAATTAAAAAAAATGGAACAATGATAAAACTGCTTGTAAAAGCCACCCGTATGAAAAGAGTACATGTTTCACAAAAATAATTGTTAAAAAAAGTATTAAATCCCTGTTCCTTTTCTCTGCTTTTGGCTGTTTATTTATATATATATATATATATATATATGCATGTATATATGTATATATATACTGTTTTGGAATGTCAATGGGTTCCAATATGGCTGGCTAGTTTCAAGATGAACTTGCTCCAGAGGCCTAGAAAACAAAGTCATACAGTACAGTCTTAGACAAATGCCAAAGGACAAGGAGAAATTGAGTCAAAGGGGTCACTGGAAATCACAAAGAAAGAAAAGTGAAAAGTTGTTTTTTTTTTCTTGTGCCTTGATACAAGAACAGAAGGTCCCAGCATTTAGGGCATTTCAGTTTTAGAACTAATTGTCATGTCTAATAAATACCTGCATTTCAAGGAGACTGAAGCAAAACAGAAAAGACTATTTCTAAAAAAAGAAGGGAAAAAAAAAAAGAAGAAAAATTAATCTGATTTTCAGATACCAAATTTGGGGACTATAGGTACCATTAGTACAGAACAGAATTATGAGTGACCCTATCCCAGATGTAACTGAGGCCTTTACCAATGACTTGGGGAAAGGTATAAGAAATTTTATGGCGATAACTGCTGTGCCCTGTCCTTGTCAGAAAGTGAGATCCTAGTATTCCAGAAACTGATCAGCTGGAGCTGAATGCCCCAAAATGGAAGACCATTTGATAGAACACGGTGCAATCAGTTCCGAACAAGACAATCACATGAGCAGCAAAACTGGGAGTAATTCAGCAGGTGACACTCAGGGTGAGCCCCAAGGGCTCAGCATCTTCGCCAGCAGTCCTAGGATGACTTTGGGACAGTGCCAGGCTCAAGCACCTAGAGTCATGTTCATAAAAGAACAGGACTACCTTTGACTTGCAAGTACTTGGTTTGCTCTTTTACAAGCAGGGACACAGTGAACAGGCGTTAACATCCAAGTTCAGGCAGTCAAGTAAAAAAGGCTAAGTTGCAGTCTGTGCTAGCACTGATGACAGCATAAGTGTAAAACCACTTAAGGTAAATCAGTTGTTTGAATTAGAGCTCAACGTAACAAAATTTTGGACTGGGATATTTTCTGCCTGTGACTAGAGGGTCTGCACACCAAAGTCTCAATAATTTTAATGGTGTCTTTATATCTACAACATTTAGATCACTCTGAAAACCCCAACATTAGTGTCTGTTTGAACAGCTAGAATTACTCCCAGAAAAAAACAGTAAATGAGCATAGAATTAGGTTTTTTTAGATGTATAAACACAGCAGCAATTAGGCATAAGCAAATCTAGAAATTGGTATAATGAAATAGCAACACAAGCAAAGCTACACATCTATCCACTTTGCACCAGGAACCCATTCCAACTTGGTCGAAAAGTGCTCATGCAACATGGCTTCATGTACATCATTGAAAAAAAATCCACTGTTAGCATACACTTATTTAGATTCCCTTAGGTAAAAAAATTGTCCCATGGTAAGGAACTGAGCCAGGTCCCAAATACTCTGAGAAAGTATGATGGAACAAAATTTTATTTCACAAAGTAATATTGCACGATGACAACTCATACCTTACCCAGCCTGGCTCTCCATCATATGTTCTCACTTCTCCAACTTCCAAACTCATCCTCCTATCTGTTATCTGTACCATGTATAGCTGTTCCTTAGTCCAGGCTACTCAGACATGCAATGCCTTCCTAACAGGCACACCGTAAGTAAAACAGGCTGCAGAAGCATAAATGATGCACTGTTCACTGTCTGTGTATCTGACAGTGTGAGATGGAAAAAGCACACAAGAGACAAGCAACGTAAGTAGTTGGCAATAAAAACAAACAACTGGGAGAAATGTCATTTCAGCAGGTTGAAAGGAATCACTGTATCCAATTCCATGGCACTGTATAATACATAAAATAATTTGGTGAGAGCTTTAAATGCCTGGTCCTACTTCGCAACAATGGATGCACGCAGTAGTGTTCTTCAGGCTTTTATGGTGAACATAAGATGAACAAAAATTGTTCAGCTCATGGCTGAAAAGATGATTAAATTCAGAATAGCCCAATGAATTCCAGAACCAACTTATTTTGAGAGTGTTTAGCAATTGGGACTGCGTGTGCATGCCACAGAGCATGTACTACTAATCCTAATGAAATGATGCATTTGTTTCAGAAGACACAGTTCCTTTCATCTTACTTTTACAGGAGATGGTCTCAGCTGTGACAAAAACCCTGCCATCCAGGTGATAGGCAAGCTCACAAACAGAAAAAGCAGAACATCTTGAGTGATACAGAGAACAAAAACTTCTCCTGAAGAAGTGCAGTCAGTAAAGACAAAGAGGGAGAAGAAGTAAAAGTGAAACTCTTGGAGGATCGCCACCTCCTCATCTGCACCTACCATTGGTTTTAGCTCTCTGCCCTCAGCTCCACCTCCCCGACCAGCTTCTTTCATTGATTTCCTACTATTCTCCACAAACTCCTGAAAAACAGTAATGAAGTGAAAAGAGCTTTCTTACAGCAGACTCCAAACATCAAATATCAAGACAAAACTCAAAATGTCAACAAAACTTGTTCCTCCCATTTCTCTTGTTCAGACATAGTCCACAAAATATCAAAAAAGCCTGCCAAATAACCACAAAGGTCTCCCTCACTTAATTCTGGAAGCCAGAGAGGTATATGCCTTGTGTGCTGATAGAACTTTCACATTTACCACACAACGCTGTTCTTCATGGTGAAGGAAGATAAAGGGTGGTTGTCACAAAGAAATCTAAAAAAAAATCTAAAACCTATAGCAAAAAAAAAAAAAAAAAAAACAAACCTAAAAAGAAAAATCCCACAGAAAAACCCAAATAGCCCACTTACTACATCCCATCCTGTTTACTGTGTGTAATGTTAAAACTCCATTAACAGAGGCACTTGGAGACAATTACTTGCAAAGTTCTGTTGATTTCCGCAACTTCCCTCAATTCAAACACTTAAATTTTTCACTGGATCAAAATCACCTATTCATGAAGATTAGCAAAGATTATAATCCAATTTTAAGTCTTCTTTTTTTTTTTTCTCTCTTAAAGGCAAGCATTCTGTCACAAATTTCAGCAAACATTAGCCGCTGGTGTTTTGTGATATCAACTGCTGACTAAAGAAACCCACAATGCTTTCATAAGTTACCTGTGTTATCTTCCAGGACAGCATGCTGCATTTTACTCTTATTCTGTGCTAAAAAGCAACTCATTAGCTACCATATACACTAGATTCTGTAGTGTTTTACCAAAAATTTAATATTAAATTCTTGGCATGGTTTTCTAACAAGTAAACAGAAAAACAAATTATGCCTAGAATTCAAGAGGATCTTCCTTTGGCCAACACGAGTGTACATTTTACAGTGACATATTCTACGGTTGACACAAAATACTGGTAGGAAAATTACCTACTCAACAACAAACTGAAAAGCTTGAGAGGCAGGATTTTTATATCTTGGTCTCTAGCTAGAATGAACAAAGGATAAGATGGAATAAACAAATCAGAACTGAATTGTGCAAAAGGCCTTAATGTAGCAACTAGGCTTCAGGACAGATCATAAAACCTGTTTTTTCTGTGCGTGACAGACAGTCAAATTCTGATTGCTGTCTATCTGAAGAAGAAAAACTCCAGTGTGGTCACTATACATGTGTGGGGTAGAAGTCTCTGATATTTTTTCTTTTTCATGTCCCAAGAGAGGTCCTTCTTAGGAAAGCAAGCCTTTACCCCTTGTTTTGCTGCTTTCGATTCTGCACTGTATCATTTAACAAGAAATGATACCCAAGAGTGAGATTCTGTAAGATGACTACTCATCTCACAGCCAGCAAATAGAAGCCAATACCAGTGATGCCAAGGGAAGGAAGCATTATTACTTACTTATTATTAATTACTTATTATCACACTGATTGCTGATCAAGTCAAGAACAAGACAGCAATGTAACCAGATTAAAAAAAAAAAAACAACAAACCAAACATATTAAAGCCAGCTAGTGAGTTCACTTCCCTGTCAAAATACCTATTTTATGGAACCATATCTGTAGATTTAGAGAACAAGGCAAAACTTACCATAAGAACTTTATCCATGTAGAATTCCCTCCCAGGGCTCCCATCATTGTATTTTGTATCGATGGCAAAACATAAGAAAAGGACATCAACAACCATTTCATAAATGGAAAGGAAGCAGTGGGCAACCAGGAATGCAAAGAGGCAGACAATGATGAGTGGCAGCACCCAGACGGTGTAATCTCGTTGGTAATTCAGCAACATGATCCCAGCCAAACCTGTACTGCAGACAATCAGGACCTGAAAAGGAAAACAGTAGACAAACCTAATGGTAGAAGACTTCTGACATTTTTAGTTTGGTCTGATACTGTTTTGTTTTTTTTTTAACCTGTGTGCTTATTGCTTTGCAAATGATTGATTTTGCTTTATTTTCTCTGCCTCATCTGCATACAGGGAAAAGCAGATCAGAACTCACACAAAGCACTTCATGTAACAGTCTCCACAGAACTATATTGTGTATGAGACCCCAACAGACAGATATTTCACTGGGTACCAGCTTGGTCTTTGGGAATAATAAAAGGACTAATACAATTGTTGTGGTAACTCAACATTTTGAACATTTCAAAACCTAATATTATGAATTGTAGAACAGGTGAGCTTTACTGTATTATGAAAATATCAAGTTGAACTGGTAGAGAAGGAACATGATAGAAAAGGCAGGCTGTCAGCCTAGCACTGTTTTAGCTGACACTAATTTTTATATGCTGCACTGTTCATTTTAACATTTCTGTCACCTGTGCATTTCTCTAATAATTTGAAAGACATCTTTTCAGGGAGATGTTTTCTAACACCTTTCAGACCCCTCCCTAAAACCACGTTATGTAATTTCATTACCTCTCAAGCACCTATGCCTTCATTATGTGTTTATTACTTCTCACATTTTATTGGCTTAATTACTAGATTAAAAGATCAGACTACTGTACTCTGACTTAAAAAAAGTAGAGAAACATAATAAGGAAGACAGCTGAGGCAACCAGTGTCCAAATACTTATGCATTTGAGTGGATTGGTATTAATTTTTTTAGTAAATGAAGACACAGCATCATTCAAAGGATAGAAATAATTCACTGGATCAAGTTCCATGAAGTATATCTCCAACAGCTGGAAACTCAAAAATGTGACTGACCAGAGCAATTATTCTAGTCTCCTTTTAATTCTCTGAGCGCATGCCAAGATATAGGAATTTTAATGCATGTTGTATTTGAGGTGCAAGCCGTTGCTAAGGAAAGCTTGCTAACATTTAGGTCTGTAAAAACTGTATACAGCAGACATACATACCTTTCCTAGAAACAGCATAAAATCCCCAACTGTGTTTATGGCAGCCACTCGCAAAGCATTTTCCACTAGAATAACAAAGGCATCCTTTGCTGAGGTGCAGAAATTGGTGCTGTTGATAGCTGTGGCTGTATATGCATTCTGGGAAAAGGAGATTGAAGATTTACTCATGAAATGATCAGATATTTCAGATGGGAAGGTGGGGGGGGAAGATACGGCTTCTGAATAAATCACATAAGTTGTAAGAGGTTAATGAACAAAGATTCCCTTGAGAGTTGTTGAACCAAACAGTATGTACCAGCTGACAGAAGACTATACGAGGTAGAGGATTACTATTCTTCTCCTCCCTTGATCATCATTTACGCATTAACAAGTTTATTCCAAAAAATTAATTAAATAGAATTTGCAATTTCTCTGCAGGAGGAGGTGAACAGTGGCTTAACTACAGCAATTAAGTAGTTAGAAAAATATTTGGAAATGCAAGAGTTTGGGAGTTATACAAGTCCACCAAGACAATTTCTGGATACTTCACTCGACTGCGTTCAAGGTTAGCGAGGACAATTTTCAAGGATTACACTGGGGTTTTTTAAATACTTTCTTCTGATTTTATTTTTTATATTTCCACGAGCAAAAAAGCGAACACTGGGAGAAGATATTAGATATCACAGAGGTGGAACCACAGGCCAGTAAAACCTCTTTTACAAAGGAGTCTGACCAGCCAGTGTGTTGCAACTTGCAACTCTTTCCACTTTGTAAATTATAATGACAACTTGATACTACATACAGGTTTTCAATTCTGTGAGCCTTAAATATTACACCTAGAAAAGCTTACCTCCCTTTCACAGCAAACGTATTTTCTGAAACTCTTATGTAGCTTGACAGGGCTGACATGAGGGGGAGCATCTCCAACCACTAAACAAATTGTTACAAGGTTGAGATCCCGCATTCACAAAGACGAATACTGCCTATTTTTCACCTTTGCAATGTAAACAAAGACTAATGGAGTGATTTGAAGTGTAATTTCAGTAATGGAGACAAGACTGAGCTACCATAAATCAAGTTCAGTTCCATGGTACGGTACATTATGTTTTAACCTCAAGACAGCATTCTGGGAATGTATCTGTATATTAGCAGCCCTCAGATAAACTTTTAATATTGAAAAGCTTACCTGATTTAAGTAGGTCAGGCACTTTTCTAGACACCAAAGGCAGCAGATGCAGGCTTTAAGCATACAGCGAGCACAAGCATTTTCCTAGAAAGCACAGAATGTGGGAAAAAAAGATAAGGAAGAAAACCAACAGATCTTAAACAAACAATAATCCTTTGTGTTTCAGTAACTGATAGGTTGGCAATTTAAGCAGTCCCTCTCAGTTCCAGAGTCCTTTAAAGACCACATATTCATGGAATCATAGAATGGTTTGGGTTGGAAGGAACCTTAAAAGCTCATCTAGTTCTAACCCATCTGCCATGGGCCAGGTTGCTCCAAGCCCTGTCCAAGCCTGGCCTTGAACGCTACCAGGGATGGGGCAGCCACAGCTCCTCTAGGCAGCCTGTTCCACTGCCTCACCACACTCATAGTGAAAAATTTCTTACTTGTTTTTAATCTATACCAAATAAGGCTTCCATCCTCCCACAGAGATTAAATAAATGTGCAAAAAACATCAGGCTTTGAGTTTCCATAAGAAAATGTAATCTATTTCTCTTACTTTTCCTTTGAGTTGTGTATGAATATACATAAGGATCATTCGTGGTATCTTCACTAGCGTGATAATGAAAGACCCCTTTGCTACTGTTCCTAGGTGGTAACAAACAAGGCGATTAACAGATGCCAGAATAGGAGTAAAGGGCAGATTCCTTTTCTCCCTGTTGAGAAAACGAATAAAGTAGAATGATCAGTATGTATGCAACATCATCCAGAAGTGCTAAAGTGCTACAAATTCTCAATAAATAACACGTAAAACAAATATGTTGTCCTTTTATTTTCAGGATATATTGTTCACTCCACACTGTCAGTCCATGTTAAGTCACAGTTTTGCAGTAACAGGAATAGGAAAAGGAATCAGTATGTCCCAAGGGCAGGCTTCCTAGCAGCTGGCTGCACTACTGCTACCGCCAACCAGCAGTTCCTATAGAACTACATCTGATGGTGCGCAATTCAAAACCTTCCAAAACCAGCGAGAAACAATGCTAATATTTTCTTCAGTGGGACTACTGATAAACTTGTCTTCCCCTTCTGTTCTGTTGGAGATCTCTGTGGAGACTTTGGAGAGGATATTACTATTTTTATTTATTAGGTAAATACTTCTCTCTGATGTTCTGCATTTCTGATTTAGCTATTATATTCTCAAGGACCCAAGTATTAAGCCTTAAAACAAGCTATTTTACCGCAATGTGGCTAGAATATTTTTAAGCTGTCAGATGAATACTCACATTCACAGGTTTGAAGCAACGCTCTCTTAAAGTTTTTATTTATATTTCCTACCAAGGAAGCCACTTCTATTTCTTTCAAAGAGCAGCTCTATTCAACATTTAAATAATGGCTTTTCCTTATTAGAAATATAAACATAATTACAAACATATTAAAGGAACAAGTGCTAACAATTCTGTGTTTTCTTCCAATTAACTTTTAAAGCTTAGGTGGGAGAAGCCAAATTCTATTTCCCCTTGGGCAAAATCACATAAATGGTCTGAGTCTTACTCCCAGACAACCCAACTACTTCCTCCTTTTGAGGCAAATATAACTGAGGAAAGAGTCTGTAATGCAGAACATCTTGATGTTTGTTACTGTCTGAGTTGAGAGGAATCATCTAGCGAAGGTGAATGAAGAGATGATGTGTGAATTTTATATCACATTTTGTGAATTAACATCACATTTTGTATGTGAATGACACATATAAAACATTTCTCCACGGATAACTTCATCTCATACGCTGTGGAAAGGTGTTAATATGCAAAATAATGGGGAGGTCCGAATTAATGTCCTTTCTTTTCTTACTAAGTCACTTTTCAGATCAGAATTATATCTTAAAAAGCACCAAAGGATAACAGTAGGGAGAAATGGGTATTTACTAACTTAAAATAAAATTCCTGTTCTGGAATGACAGGATACAGTTAAAAAGAATTCAAACTCAGGTGACAGAAAATATATAAACTTATTAAAGAAGTATATACACTGCTAAGCAATCTATTTCAGAATGAAACTATCCTCTCTTTTCTGTATTTTCCTAGTTCTTCACTCAATCTAGTTTAATTATTCACAAGATGACATCCCTGTAACATCTTGTAATAACTTCATAGATGTATTTCATTGGTATACTGGAGGACTTCATCATTAATAAAATAACAGAATTTCTGTCAGCACAAAAAATGAATTCCTTGCCTTTGATATTGTTGTGAAGACTAGGGCAGATAAGAAGTCAAATGTAATTCATATAACAGCCACAATTAAAAAGACAAACCAATTAAACATTTGTGATAGGACTCATGCATTTGAAAAATATCTGTATGCATTATTTAAAACCCTGTTATTTTAAATACCAGACACTTAAAAGCAAATGGCATGAATAAGAGGGTGGTTGCTGGATATCATTAGAATTTTTTGCATACAATATTCTTCATATGAAAAGCTAAAAACATATATGAAGAACCACTAGCTAAACTACATGTGTATTTGGGCTACTAACGCATTCTTCTTGGGGATAACATCTTGGTTTTCCTTAAGTAAACCACCATTGCTAAAAATTTTGTCAACATACTCTACTCATGCTGCTCTTTATTAAGAGGATTTCTATTTATACTGATTGGAAAAGACTTTGAGAATATCCAAAATAAAATAACGTATATAGTTCCTCAACATGGGGGGGGGGGGGGTGTGGGGTAGTGGTGGTTTGGATACCACTTTTTTTTTTTTTTTCCCTGAAAGATTTCAGTCCTAAATGACCCAAATAAGATCTTTTAGTTTCTTTACTAGGGACTAAAACCCCAAAGCTAAATTTGCTATTCTAAAACCAGTTTTTTACCTCTGTGTGGAAAAATTCTTGTGCATGAAGTTTGGTAAAACAAGTGCTTAATAATTAGTATTGCCTTCTGAAACAACTAGCAAATATATACAGAACGGCCAGCATAAAGTATGCCTTGCTATACAATTTAATACTCAAATACAGCAATAAAATATAGAACTTTAATGCACTTTATTTTGTATCACTTTTTATTTATACATGATCTTGTCAGAATCTACATGTAAATGATGAGTATAATAAGAACGTAAGTAACCTTCTGTACGAAAGATTAATGAGGTACTGTAAATTTAAAAGGGCAGTGGTTTGCAATTCAAATAATAATCAATTGCTTTCAATGTTTTCTTAAATCTTTACTGAGCTTATCAGCAATAATTATTAGCATCACAGATGACCTTCCAGGTGCATGCTGCTTTGTAAAGGACCATCAATGTCCATACCATGTGCACGTTACAAGGCAAACAAGACTTCAAGTCCTAAATACCAAAAATACAATCTATAACCAACAAACCAAATTATTATACAACTTGATATGATTTAAAAGAGTCAATAAAATTCAACTGCTCCCCACCTTTCAGGATGGAAACAAGTATTCTCCCCAAAAGCTTTATCCCTCATTCTTCCTGCTAAATCAATTTCCAGGCTACTCACAGTAGACTTAAGTTGTCCTTACCTTGTAAAGTAGTATGTTACAACAGCTCCTGCTACCGTCATCTGCTGACACGCTAGGATAAACTCGCTGATCCAGATGAGTCCCACTAAATGGTACCACCACATGTATTTCAAAGGACCTACCATTCTAAATTCAACAAATCCTTCTTCATTTGGGACAGGACTACCTAGAAATAAACGAGGGTAAAAAACAAAACGGTGCTTACATCAACAAAGAAGGAAGCATATTGCATTAGCAATTCGTAACTGGCTACAGCAGAACCCATTTAGCTTCTACTGTTAGCTGTCAACGTCATGTTTAAGAGGACTGTTCATTAGAAAGATACAGCTTTTGAGACAATCAATATAATGGCATTTGAAAAAGGCACTACAAAAAAATATTCTGAGCGTACTCAAAATCCCCCACTTTTTTAAATTTTTAGCCACATGGTAAAAATTTCCAAAACTAAGCACCATTAAGTAGCAAAAAATTCTCTATAAACATAGTAAAAGCCTGCTTCAGTCATTCCTAATTTCAGTCTGCTGCTCTGCTGGTATTGTTCATACAGTAAGAATAAAAATTAGACTTCATAGCTCCTTACATCTAGGTGTCAAAATTAACAATCACTTTTTGTTTCCCTTATGGTCTTTGTTCATGTATTTCAACAATACCTGTAGCTTTAAAGGCATTCACAGACATGAGGAGCAGCTTTAGAAAGTCTAAACATATGATTTCATACACTGACTGAGAGCAGCACTGAGGAGAAAGACAATGTTGGTTGGTGAGAAGTTCAATATGACCTGGCAGTGTGCGCTTCCAAGCCCAACCAACTGTATTCCAGGCTGCACCAAAAGAAGCATGACCAGCAGGTTAAAGGAGGTGATTCCCTCCCTTTACTCCACTCTCATGAGACCCTCCTCTGCAGTACTGCATTAGCTCTGGGGGCCCCAAGGTAAGAAGGATGTGCACCTGTTGGAGTGAGTCGAGAGGAGGCCATGAAGATGCTTAGACAAGCACTTCTCCTATGGAGACAGGCTGAGAGAGCTGGGGTTGCTCAGCCTGGACTCTGCCTAACCTGAATAGCAGTATGATGCACTAGACTGATAGCACATATTAGAACCCTCCTAGGATAAGCTCTAGTTTAGTATGCTAACCCACATTGAGATGTTTCATCTTATACAACAGTTACGTGAACAGCTCATGAGGTTCAGAAAAATACTGGAAGTAACATCATGTTACATCAAGTGTAAACACCTTGAACACCATTGTTTTGACTTAGCATTGATAGCACCTTCTCCACCTTCTTAGCTATGCTTTTGTGCTTATATAAAAAACTTAGAATTTTCTTATGAATAAACTGAACTATTGAAATAATTTTGTTTTTAATGAACAAGTTCTTCCTAAGTGTAGGCTTCTTTTTAAGTTTTCCTGGTTTGGATTGAAAAGATCTGTACCTACTTGCACAAAGATTTTGTTCAACTGGTGTCAGTGAAGATACTGAGTGCACATAAAGCTAAAGGCATACATTAGTCTTTGCAGAATCAAGGCGAATGAAAGAGTTCTGTCAGTAAAATACAGTTTCAGCCTATATTCTGCTACAAATTCAGTCCCTGTGCAGTGGTCTTTTAACTCACAGAGTAAAGCATGGAACTAAGACTTAACTCACTTTCAGAGGCAAACATTTTCTGCACACAGCACAGCATGTAATGAAAATTAAAAATTTCAACAGTAATGAGAATAAGAACAAGAATGGCTCCTATGACTGGAGTGTTGGAATGGAAGGTTACAGGCTTTTTAGAAAGGACAGGCTCGGTAGGCAGGGAGGGGGAGTTGCCCTTTATGTTAGGGATGGGCTGGAGAGTATCGAGCTCTGTCTGGGGACAGGTGATCAGTTAACAGAGAGTTTGTGGGTCAGGGTTAAAGGGAAAATAGCTATGGGAGACATTACTGTGGGACCTGTTATAGACTGCCTGATCAAGGAGAACCTGCGGATGAAGCAGGTTCAAATGATAAGAATGATAAGAAAAGCCTCACGCTCACAGGCCCTCGTTCTCATGGGTGACTTCAACCACCCTGACATCTGTTGGAATGATGGTACGGCCTGGCACAAGCAATCCAGGAGGTTCCTCGATTGTGTGGAAGACAACTTCCTTCTGCAAGTAATAGAGGAACTGACATGGAGAGGTGCCATGCTTGACCTCGCGCTCACCAACAGGGAAGGGCTCTTTGGAAATGTGGTACTCCAGGGCAGCCTTGGATGCAGCGATCAAGAGATGATTGAATTTGAGATCCTTAGGACAGTGAGAAGAGCGTGCAGCAACCTCACTGCCCTGGACTTCAAAAGAGAGACTTTGGCCTCTTCCGGAACCTGCTTAGTAAGGTTCCATGGGATAAAGCCCTAGAGGGCAGGGGTGGGCCAAAACTCTTGGTTAATTTTAAGGATCACCTGCTACAAGCTCAGGAGTGTTGTATCCCAACCAGGAGGAAGTGCAGCAGGAGGGCCAGGAGACCTCCTTGGATGGATAAGGAGCTCCTGAGGAAAATTCAAATGAAAAAAAGGCACTTACAGAAGGTGGAAGCAAGGACAGGCAGCCTGGGAAGAATACAGGGATGTTGTCGGGGAAGCTAAGGACCAGGTTAGGAAAGCTAAGGCCCAGTTAGAATTAAACGTGCCTAGGGATGTTAAGGATAACAGGAAGAGATTCTACAGGTACGTAGCAAATAAAAAACAGACAAGGGACAACGTAGGCCCCCTCTGGAAGCTCTCGGGAGAACTAGCTACACAGGATTTGGAGAAGGCTGAGGTTCTGAATGACTTCTTTGCCTCGGTCTTCACTGGCAAAGGCTCTGACCGCACCACCCAAGTCTTGGAAGGCAGACGGAGGGACTGTAGAATGGAGACCTTGGGCCCACCATAGGAGAGGCTCTGGTTTGAGACACCTTAAGAACCTGAATGTGCACAAGTCCATGGGACCTGATGAAATCCATCCACAGGTCCTGAAGGAGCTGGCAAATGAAGTTGCTAAGCCACTGGCCATCATATTTGAAAAATCATGGCAGTCAGGTGAAGTTCCCAAGGACTGAGAAAAGGGAAATATAACCCCCATTTTCAAGAAGGGGAAAATGGATGACCCAGGGAATTACAGACCAGTCAGTCTCACCTCTGTGCCTGGCAAAATCTTGGAGCAGATTCTCCTGGAAGGCATGCTAAGGCACGTGAAAAACAACAATGTGCTTGGTGACAGCCAGCATGGCTTCACTAAGGGGAAATCCTGCCTGACCAATCTGGTGGCCTTTTATGATGGGGCTATGGAACTGATGGACATGTGTAGAGCAGTTGATGTCATCTACCTGGATTTGTGTAAAGCGTTCGACACTGTCCCACAAGACATCCTTGTCTCTAAATTGGAGAGACATCAATTTGATGGATGGACCACTTGGTGGATAAAGAACTGGCTGGATGGCCTCAGGCAAAGAGTTGTGGTCAATGGCTCAATGTCCGGCTGGAGACCAGTAACGAGTGGTGTCCCTCAGGGATCGGTGTTGGGACTGGTCTTGTTTAACATCTTTGTTGGTGACGTGGACGGTGGGATTGAGTGCGCCCTCAGCAAGTTTGCCGATGACACGAAGCTGTGTGGTTCAGTTGATACGCTGGAGGGAAGGAATGCCATCCAGAGGGACCTTGACAGGCTTGTGAGGTGGGCTGATGCCAACCTCATGAAGTTTAACAAGTGCACGGTCCTACACCTGGGTCGGAGCAATCCCAGGCACAGCGACAGGTTGGGCAGAGAAGAGATTCAGAGCAGCCCTGTGGAGAAGGACTTGCTGGTGTTGGCCGATAAGAAAATGAACATGAGCCAGCTTCAGTGTGCGCTCGCAGCCCAGAAAGCCAACTGTATCCTGGGCTGCATCAAAAGGAGTGTGACCAGCAGGTCGAAGGAGGTGATCCTGCCCCTCTACTCTGCTCTCGTGAGACCTCACTTGGAGTATTGTGTGCAGTTCTGGTGTCCTCAATATGAAAAGGACACGGAACTGTTGGAACAAATCCAGAGAAGGCCCACGAGGATGATCGGGGGATTGGAGCACCTCCTGTATGAAGATCAGCTGACAAAGTTGGGGCTGTTCAGCCTGGAGAAGAGAAGGCTGCGTGGAGACCTCATAGCAGCCTTCCAGTATCTGAAGGGGGCCTGTAGGGATGCTGGGGATTCTTCATTAGGGACTGTAGTGACAGGAGAAGGGGTAATGGGTTAAAACCTAAACAGAGGACATTTAGATTGGATATAAGGAGGAAATTCTTTCCTGTTAGGGTGGTGAGGCACTGGAATGGGTTGCCCAGGGAAGCTGTGAATGCTCCATCACTGGCAGTGTTCAAGACCAGGCTGGACAAAGCCTTGGGTGATATGGTTTAGAGCGAGGTGTCCCTGCCCATGGCAGGGGGGTTGGAACTTGATGATCTTAAGGTCCTTTCTAACCCTAACTATTCTATGATTCTATGATTCTAACACATGAATTCTATTACAAGTGGCTATGACATACAATAATACTTACCTTGTATTACCCTGAAATAGCTCTGTGACTTGAAACACTGCTACTATTGGATTGGAAGTAAACAAGAAATTTAAAAATTTTAAGTTTTTAGTAATGAATGATGGTATCTACTGCCTACAACTTATTGTAAAATAACAGTTATCTCCCATTTTAAAAAGCAGTTGCTAGGTTTCTGTGCTGAAGTAACTAAGATTAGGACCTATAGAATCAAGTAATTTTAGAAGTTTGTCAGTCCCTGAACACAAAGCTCTCATGTTCTATGCTCCACAGAGCAGGCAGAAATTGAGAGTAGAGTGGCTGCTCTCAGAATACAGACAGCAGAAAATCCCCCTAATAATCCTGGAAAATGCAGGAATAATACTGGACATGTAAGTTATGAACAACTGAAAGCTACTTCTAGTATATTTACATTTTGGGAGACTGTAATTGTTTGCAACAGCCCTTTCATTACTATGTCTTCATGTGTATGAGTATCGACTACAGTACAATAGCTTAAGAAATCAGCCGTTAGATTAGGCTGGTTTTAACCTGCTTTTGTGAAATTAGAGGGAATTATTTAAAAAAAAGTGTTATACCCTTCTTATTAATGTAGTTTTTTGGTTTGCAACATGCCAGCTTGCGTCAAATCAAAAAGCCATCCTAAGGCACAAAGTGACATACTGGGAATGCAAACTCACACAACTTTCTCAAAATAAGTGTTTTGAAGCCATCGAAGCAGATAAGAACAGAAGCACAGTGTGTGTTTTGGGGTTTTTTTTCCTAGAGGTTCACACGTGCTTTTTAACCAACTCTGCCTGAAACCATACAAAAATGGAGTGGAGTTGATTTAAAATAAGTCTGGTAGATGCTTACCTGTAGTACCAAGGAAAAGCAGGACTGTGATCCAGTATGTCCAGAAGAGGATAAGCACAAAGAATGTCCAAAACGGCTGGAAGACTAGCAGCGGCAGGTGGATGAAGACCTTGCCAGCCACATGGAACAAGGCAATGGTGAGAGCTACTCGTTTACGCATAACTAACATTATCAATAACAAGATAACCTGGAGGGAGAAGTTTCAAAATCACATTTTAGAGAACTGAAAAATAAGTAAGCTATCATTTTGCACAGCTAGGATATTCAAATGCAGCAAATTAACACATGTTCTATCTATAGAATCACAAGATCAAAATGTAAGATCTGTATCAGCTTCTTCTGGTGAGAAATTATTTTCCAACTTACACTTTTGCAGAATACCAATCTCATAATTATGTATTTGGAATCATCATCAGGCTCAGACTGATTAGATTAGACCAGATTCTATCAGTTGCTCTATAACCAGTGAACTCAGCAAGATGTAATGAAGTATACAATTTAACATCTATATTTGAGCATGGTGTGGTGGTCTTGTCATATACGTTAGTTAAATATTGTCAACTTTTAGTAGTACAAGTTAGTGATTCTTGAATCAAAAAGCAAGGCCTAAAGAAGATAAATTGGTTCTATAACCAGTGTTAGTATTTCAGCTCACAATGATGTCTCTGTTAATGAAAAAAGTTTGGGAACAACCAATTTCAGAAATAGGAATGGTTAAAGGACTTTAAAATAAACTGAAATGACTAAGTACCCCTGAATGGGGAACCTAAGAAAAATCTTGTAAGTGAAACTGGATTGTGAGTCCAATATCATAGCTATTCTTGGAAGTCCCTGTGGACATTTTGTGGTAGAGGAAAGTAGCTGCAGGGTTAAGAAATCTCTCCTGACTCAAAACCAGGTATTAAAGAACAATGCCTGGAAGTAAAAAGCACACAAACAAACCAACCCACTGCAACAGAGCTTGGAGTAGAAATAAGCTCTTAAAAAATGTGTGCAACATAAGCCTTTCACCTGAATAAAAAAACAAGAGACCACCAGAACAATAAAATAATACAGTCATTAGCAAAGTATACCGTGAAGACTGTAGCTGCAATGGCATAAATCAGGAGAGCCTGAAGATTGTCTTTGGCTATTTGAGTCTCAACAGCACTGGCAGATATTCGTTCCTTAGCATACAGCCACCACAGGACTCCTGTACCACCTATATTTTAGAGAAAAAAAATGACAGGTAAATGAAAGATGCTCCTTCTGTGTGACACTGTCAAACTACCTAGCAGCAAAGGAACTAAACATTTTCTTCTTTTTAAGTCTAGTCTGGTAAAGAATAGGCTGAGGCACTGATGCTTAACCCAACAGGAACTTTGAAGGAAGGAGAACTGCTTAGTCTTCCTCTGTTGCCCTCTTCTCAAGTGGATATACTCCTTTCCCAGTCTCACCCCACTATGACCACTTAAGAGACTTGCAGCTCTTCGTGTTTCGGGGTGAAGTGCATGAAAGAACTACTTCATGGGGAACCCTAACAATGAAGATCACACCTTCCATCACACAGGCAATAGAGGGACAAAAATAAAAACAAAGAGTTATATGGTAGGATATATGTTTATATGTGTATAATAAGGTAGGTAGTAAGAATTTAGGAAGGGAAACACAGGGGCCTTTGGGTTAGGGTGAAAAATAATAGAAGGAACAAAAGGAGTCTACAACTCCTGGAAAGACTAATCAAGAAAAGAAGGAACAGCCCTGATGCTGAAAATGGCACCTTGGACTACTGACACACAGCTACCTCTTCATTGGACAGTGCCTTTTGGGCACTGGAACAAACATCAGTGAAAGGCACAGGAAGCCAGTATGAATTTCTCCTAACCCTGTTACAAAATCCTGAATCTTGTGGCCAGAATACCATTCTCCTATTCTAGCTACCTGTCCGAGGTAGAATATTTCTTAAACAGAGGACTCCAGCCCCCTCCAGAGATAAGCTCTCCCCTCTGAGATATATATATATATATATATATCAGACTTATCTAGACATCACAAGTCATTGCTGAAGGTACTCTGCTCAGGTCTGAAATGGAGGATGCCCTTTTGGCATCTCCTAAGCAAACAGCGAATACAAAACAAGCAGCATGTCTCACAATTGGCATGTTCTTTTTTGGTTTGTGTAATGGGTGTGATTTTTTTTAGAACAGAACAACAGATGGCAATAAGTTATTCAAATCTTTCGCTCAAAGTTTCTAAAGAGTGAAAAAAAAATTAATTTTTTTTTTTTTTTTTAAGCTTTTCTGGGGTCACAGATCCTAAGACCACTAAGCAGAAAAAAACAAGTGATCCCGAAAAAACATAGATGGTCTGATTTTTTTTTTCTATTCCTTGCAGTCGTAATTGCAAAAATTAAATTGCTACTGCTTCCTAATATGATTATTCTATTTTCATTCCTTCCCTACAATTATCTCCCCATACATTTTGGCATAGCTACTGAGTATCAAGAATAGAAAGCTCTAGTTTTACAAATGCAAAAGTTAATGTGATAAAGCAAGGCTATTTTCATGCAAGCTATATAACTTTGGATGAGGCAACGTGTAGCCATTCCGAAGACAGCACAGCTGGTTGCATTTCATACATGACTTACATGATGCAGAACTTTCCAAGTCAAATGGAACTACAAGATTTCTATTAGAAATGCTAGAAAAGCATTTTTGCTTCCTCTCCTGAGGAACGCTCTTAGATACACCTACAGAGCTATTCAGATGACCGAAGGGACTGATCAATATGACACGGTTGTGTGGACACATCTACATCCCAAGATTCCCTGAGGCTTAATAAATAATAAGTTGCCCTTTGATTCATGCATGCTTAAGTATGCCCAGAGGGTGGGTATGCCGTCACACACCCAGACTAGCTGCATTTCTGACATGTTCAGAAGGCAGGTTAAGATGTAGGAAATGCTTAGGTCTGTGCTATAAGTGCTGTGAGGAATATCCCATATTGCTTATGTAGGCTATAATGAGCTAGGCTGACAGGAAGCTTGCCAGCCAAGCACCATGCGCAGCAAACCTCTAAGGAGCAGTGTGCTCTCTGGGCCAGAACTGCAATTACAAAGGTGGCTTTTTTGCAAGACATATGCAAGTGACTCAATGGAAAGCTGAAGGTAAATGAAGATCTTTGCAGGATTGCAGCTGGCCTGAGGACATGGAGCACAAAGATTAGAACTGGGCACTCAGAAAATGGGAGGCAAACAAGACTTACCAAGTGATCCCAGAATGACAAGAATTGTTAAAATCCAGACAAGTACTCTTGAAATGTACCTGATTATAACCATCAAAATCATGGACAACACTGCAAAAGAAGACAAACAAAATAAGCAGAGTAATTATGTCAAGTAGAAATTCCTAATTCTCCCACTGCACTAAGATAACTGCCTTCCAGCAGGATTTTTAGAAAGATTTCTGAGCCTTACAAACTCACTGCACAGACAGTTAAGTATTTTAGGCACCTCTACAACTTCTGCTTTTATACTGTTGATTAAAACAAACAAAGCAGAAATACATTTACAGGGTACATTAAATACAAGACAGAATGCATACATACAAACAGAGATGTATTTAGACAATGACAAAACAGACAGAAAGATATGACAGTACTCTAAGTCTAGTAATGTAAACACATCCCCTGAGGACCAGAGCAGAATTTGCACTCAGGTACACTTGTTAAACAAGTGCAGATAATGTGATGCTGTGTATTTCAAAATGTCATGCCAGTAAAATGTAAAAAAAATTACAACTTTATTTTCAACATTCAAAATAAGCTCATTAACAAGCTTCGTTCATATAGTTCCACTGCCATTCAGAAATGCATGTTAAAAAGCCCTCTACAATCTCAGCCAGCTAAGATTTAGTGAGTGGTGAATGTAAATGCACACACACATACATATTTGTGTACAGCTGTTACACTGGAACCTGGCTTTGTGAATCACACAATCTTACCCACTGTTTAAAAAAAATAAATTCTGTAACCATGAAAGTATGAAAAATATTTTTTAAATTAACTGTATCTAAAAGTCTGTACTAATTTCTGACTCTACCCGAACAGTAGCATTGCTAATCAGCTGCTAGCTTTCAGATGCAGAACAGTCTTTCTACCATTACTATCAATTACTGCTGCTGTCAGAATATAAGAATAAACAACTTTCCAATCATAGCTGACAAGATACTCAATGGTCTTTTGTGTTTCTGGGGTGGTTTTACACACTGCTCATATACATGGCTAGTATCTGAAGCTTCCCATTTTAGGATTTCAAATTTTATACTTATTAGGAGTATAGAATCATTAATAATTTATGTGGGTGAGCAGCATTCCACCTTAATTCACAAGACTTAAAACAGCACTTTGGTGTAGTACAATGTGTCATTCTATAGGTCAGAGGCACCTCACAACTGTAGAAATGAGTCAGCACCTCTATACTGAGATTTTCAAATGCCTGAAGCTTTTAATTTTGGAAGAAGGGGAAGAAGGAGGTAACATACAATAAAACAAATGAGCACTTAAGTTTTTTGTTTATCCCCAAAAAGTTCTCATGTCCCTGCATAAGTATGTTAAATGAAACAAACTAAAACCCCTACATTCTAGAAAATAGTGCTGTTGTGCATTTCTTACCCTGTCCTTTTTATTTGGAGTTGGGTTGGCAGAAAATGAGTATGAGAAATGGGAAAGGGGAATACTATAGTAAAAATTAGGATAATGGGGATGCTCTGTTAACTGTACCGCAACTAATGTTGGCTAACCAATAGCCACACATCGTCTATCTCATAATCAGCGCAAGCGGAGAAAAAACAGGAGTGCATACATAGACTGCTTCTGAGTAAGTTACACAGCTATCAAATAATATTTTTTAAAAGCAATCTAAACAATTTTTTAAAAGGGCTTATTGCAATAATTCATGTTGCTTTCTCGTATTGTGGGTAGAGGGTGTTAACAATCTCCTAATGCAGTACTAAGAAATAGCTAGTAATGAGAAAAACAATTACCTAGTGACAACAAGCAAAGTCCCATTATAATCTCTTTGCTGGTCATAACTCCACTAATCAGCCTGTGTAAGACACTACTGTCACTGACAAAGGTGATCAGGGCCTCTGCAAACTTGGCATAGCAGGAAATGTTCACAGGAGCACAGCGATGGAAGAATGGAATAGGTGCACTGGTGACACAAGAAAAAAAAAATCAGAAAAAAAAATTACTCCTACTTAATATAAATGCCACATCAACACACAAATGAAAGGTGAATAGATGCAACCACTCCACCCTCATAACATCATAACCAGAAACCATGTGTTGAAAGCACAAGTGCTGCTGGAATGAGGATGATCATAATGAGAAGTGATGCAGTTCTTACAAGTGACCCTGAGAGGCTGGCGTGCACAGTCTAATAGGAAATTATTACCCTCCCACCCTTAAATGGCAAGGCTCAGAAAATACATGTTCCTATTTGCACTTAAACATCTCTCAATCAAGTGTCAGGTGGTGAACCAGCAGCTGAAACAATGCCTTTCACTCATGTTAGAATAGAACACTAACCCGTATTTGCAGCAAAAGAAATCCCAGAATGACAATACTCTTCTTTCAAGCATACATTCTATGCTAAAATATATCAGCACTTCCAACTGCTGCCAAACAAAACTTACCTATTTATTCTTAGTTTTTCCCATTCTGAACTTGCTCTTGTATTGAAAATTACAATCACAGAGTTTACTTTCATTAGCTTTGTAAAAATTATGCACTACATTCTTTGCTAAGACGCCTATACTGTTTCATTATTCCTTAAGTGTTTCGGAAGCATCCTCCCCAAAAATACCGATGCTGTGTGTTAAACTGTGCAGAATGCTCAGCAGAACCTGCTATCACCTCTCCATCAAGGAGGAAGATACAAGAGAGCAAAAACTTCCCTTGAAAAGTGGGTGATTTTGTTTTCCAAATGTTTCCCATTAAGTAACTGCCTTTCTTGCTCATAAACTATGTCAGATCTCAAAGTGGCCTATTATATCTTTTGATCAAGCTTCCCGATTACACTTCAAACACAGTCCATGAAATACATGTTCCTTGCTGTAATCGGACCCAGTGAAAGAAATACCTTTTGTATTAAGTCAGACTTTTCTTCTAACCTCTGCATTTGTTTCACCTTACCCAATTATCCTAACTTAAAAGATTTCAGTGGACTGTAGCAGCAATACACATAATCTTTTGCAGTTTCCCCATTCAGCAATGACCTATAAACCAGCAATTCTCTGTACTCAGTAGCTATTCGTTAAGCCCATGCTTCTGTCATTCTAAGCACATAGTAAGTAAAACAGCTGCCTTAGATGCACCCTTTTTATGCATTGTTTTTTGTGGGGAAGTTTCACTGTACATTTTAAATTACCTATTTCCACATGCAGTAATTAATTTCTAACGTTGCTACAATTAGTTAAAAAAATGAGGTTAGTCATTTCTACAATTTTCCTGTATAAATGGGACTGCTGAGAATCCACTTTTTGAGATCTGCTGCTATTTCAGTGGTTCTGACTGAGTAGGTGAGGTAAGGTGTCTTGTTTAATAAAAAATATAATAATAGACCTGCAGTATTTTATATGGCCTTTTGATTATAACTTGGTATATTACATACTGAAATGGAATGGCAAGTTTCTGAGAATAACAACATGATGCTTGATCGTGGACAACAGTTAGTAAAGTTGAAGCCAGGAGATGACGGTGTTAAAAACTGCATTTTATGATGGTGTTAAAAATTGTATTTTTAAAGCAATATTCAAGTGATGTTGAGAGACCCATCTGATTGTTCAAGTACTAGATTTCAGAGGAGAGCTCTTTCCTCTCACTACTACACCTGGGCATCTACAGCAACCTGTGTGTGGGGACTGTGTTAGAATGCCACTGGTAGCTATTCTTTGTAATTTCTTTATACAGGGCAGCCTCTTGGCATAGCTGGCTGACTGAAAAATGCTGCAGGTAAAAGCTGGACACATTTTCTTTTAGGGTCTTCTAAAGAATCATGCTCTACTGAGGCTGAGATGTAGTAGGCACAGTTCCTGTAACAATCATGTATGGCTGCCTGCTTTGCTAGACTGTGCTGCTGTGTTGAAGTTGGACATGATGCTTGAACCTGGAGGGTCAGAGTCCACTGAAAGGTGGAGTCCCAAATGAAGGGTGTGAAGCCTGGTCATGAAACAGAAATCATCAAGGAACAGTGGTCATGAAATACCCTACCTCCACCCCATGGCCTGAATGGGAATCAGATGGCTCGTACCTCTGACAGATCAAATCTGAGAATAGGAGTGTTAGGCAAGTTCTTCCTGAATGCCTCAGCCTACAGAGAGTTGGGTTTTTGTTTGACTCCATAAGACTCAGTTTGCCTTCCAAATCACATTAATTTAATCAAATAATTTAACTATAAAAATCTGAAAAACAGAGTGGTTTATAGATACAACATTGGCCTTTTTTGTCTGAAGGCATTAAGCGCAGACTTTTCAATCTCAAAAATATTAAAACATACTGTACATTTTATTTATACCAGATTACAAAAAATGGAAATATTCCACCTACACAGTGGCTTTTAAAAAATAACTCCTGAGGTAGCTTTTTTAAGGAATTTCCATAGTGTCATTAGGGCTCCAACACTCTGTTCTATCCTGTTTTCTTATTAAGCTATATTTATTCAGAATGAATAACATGGGAACACACAGTGAGAAAAGTTACTATAATTCTGGCAAAAATTAAGACTGACAAGCCTTTTCAGTATGCAAGCTGGCACTGAAGTTTTCATTTGGTTTTGTATTACAGCTCTAACAGCTGGTTAGCTGCATGGAATATTAATCTGCTGTGGAGAAAAGTAAAAAAAAGAAAAAAAAAAGTAATATTCCAGCTGCTACTTATTGTCACTACAATATAAAAACATTATTCAATACAGAGGCTAGAATGAATACAAGAGAGACTTAAAATCACAGGTTTTAGAACTGACATAATTATAACATTTATTAAAAATGTAACAGAAAACTACTAAGGAAAAGACTATGCGGTTACAACCCACTACGGAATGTGTCTGAGAAGCTAAACTTTGAGAAAATACAATATGGTTGCTCTTGGGTGAGTAGAATTACTGTCAGAAGGATATGCACAACAGCAAACGGATCACTCCTTTTCTCATCAATGGTCACCTCTACAGTTCAGGCTGCACAGCTAGCAGAGTTTCTGGGCCTACAAATTTTTCTATCCTACTTCACAAACAATATAATATTTTAAACAATAAAATTCAAATCAATCTGTTTATAAAATACCATCGTCTTTTTTGGTATTTGGTCATCCTCATTTTAGTCATTTGGGGACTGAAAGAATTCAAAATGAAGAAATTTGCTAAATTTGATTGGCTGAGGTGAGGTATAAGAAATTAACACTACAGAGGGCTGCATGTCAACATATCGCTTTTCCTCCCAAAGATCCAAAGTGCACCATAACTGTCTCTGATCTATATTGCTGACATTGCTTGCTATAGGGTGAAAGGCAGTAAACCAGCACAGTAACTCTGTTTCATGAGATAAAAGAAAACTTGAAGATACCAGCTGAATACTCTCAGTAACAAATGAATGGCTACTTTGGGTTCTCCTTTAAGAGTTGCCTTCATAACCTTTTAAAAACATATGGCAATAATACACTAAAATACCCACCTGTCAGACGGATTAAATCTGTGCTGCGTATTTTTGGAAGAACTATCACAAACAAAACAAATCTCTGTTCCCTCCACCCCCAATCAGACAAGATGTTAACATTACCTCTCTGGAACAGGGTATTTAGGACATAACTTGGCAGCCGCTGGGTCTGTAGTGTATTCTGATGGCTGTAGTTCATAGCTACACAGATTGGATCCTGTTGAAAGGAAAAAAGAAATAAAACATGTAGATGGGAAAAAAATCAAACATTCCTATTTTTTTGCAAATTGTATTACAACTGATACAGGTCCTGATTCTGCAGCTCTTTGTGTTACTACCACAGAGTTATGCTACAGTTCTTTCTGTAATGGGACAGTGAATCAAACTCAACACAGGCTTCACTTTAACAGAATGACACTCTCCATCTAGCTCTGGTCTTCCAACCTTTGTGTATTGAAGTAGAAAAGGCTAATTAACAAAGTAGTGTAAAAGAGAAGGGCATAAAGCACTTAGAAGTCACCCTTCTCTGCTACTCCATCACACTTTTTTCTTGATAATTTTTAGTGTATGAATATTGCACAAGACAATATTCATTACAGATGGAACATTCAAGGGGGTTGAAGTTCTTTTGGGGGGCTGGCTTTTTCTTTTATGTCTGTTTTCAAAATACAACTGCTCTACAGATTTCAGGGAGAAGAACGAAGGAACCAAACTGCTGAAATTAGGAAGCTGACTGAAAAATAATATAAGCTCTGCAGTAGATGTCCAGACCTTTTAATGAAGCTGAGTTTGTTCCATCGAACAAATTGATACAGCACAATAAAGATCAAGTTGCCTACAACAAAATTCAAACATAATTTAACTCTTCCTTAGTACCTTACACTTGCCTAATGGAAGTACATTATCTAGACAGATCTCTTTTCATTTGTCTATGATCAAGATACTGAATATCTGAGACAATGCTTCCAGCAATATAGCAACCATCAAACCAGACTGGAGCAACGGTCTCTCAGAAATTGCAGAGGGAAGAAAGGTTCCAATGGTATAAGCTGCCTATCCAAGAGTGTCTTCCCAGCTTGTTTGATAACAGACAGTCTACTCCCCAGTGCAAGGGGTCTGGATACACAGCCTTTAGTGTCTTGTTTTGTTTTCCTATGCATGAAACTAAGGGCATCTTGATAATCCCTATAAATATTTAATTATTTCCATTGTGAAAGTCTATTTTGTAGAAATGCTTTGTAGCAGTTCTACAAACTGGCTCTGGATAATACATACACACTTTTACCCAAATCAAACCAAGACTTTTGACACACAGCTTTATCGTGGCCTCTGTGTCACCAAAAGAAGTACTATGTGTAGCAACTGTAGAGTATTATTTGCAGAAATCTTGTTTACCATTGCCACACTGCTATCTCTATGAAGAGTTATCTTCTATTTACAGACTGAAAGAGAAGACACAGAGCAGCTGAGCAGGCTGTCCCATGCAAGCTATCCCATACAGTTTCTGGAACATTACTTAAATACTACTTCTATGAGTTAGTTTTCTGGGGGCAGGTCAAAACCACCAAATACTCCCTTGAAGAAAATTAAAACTTCCTGCAAAGAAGGTATCAGGTAAAACATGTTAACTCCAATTTTTATTATACTTTTTATAGAAGCCCTTATGCTTACGGAAAAACAGGGCATCCGACAAACATCAGACAAAACTACCTGCCTTACAATGTAATTGTAAATGTAGTATCTAAAAGTATTATTCTTTTTGGACTACGGGCTCTATGCCGCTGTAAAAATTTTTAATCTATTTTTTTGATATGGAAAAGTTCTGGATCAAGTGCATTTGCAAACAACTCCAACAGTGATGAAGGGGCAGCAGCAGAGTCACATGTTTATCTCTAAAACAGAAGGAAAGAGAATATTGCAGATATTTGAATTTATTTTGCTTTGAATACAGGACAAAAGCTAAGCTACAAGGATCATCAACAGTCAACTAACATGAGCCAGCTTGTGCCCAGGAGTGTAGTGACAGGACAAGGGGTAATAGGTTTAAACTTAAACAGAGGAAGTTCAGGTTAGATAGAAGGAAGAAGTTCTTCACTGTGAAGGTGGAGAGGCACTGTAACAGGTTGCCCGACGAACTGGTAAATGATCCATCCCTGGCAGTTTTCAAGGCCAGGTTGGATGGAACTTTGGGTGACATGGTTTAGTGTGAGCCATCCCTGCCCATGGCAGGAGGTTGGAACTAGAGATCTTAAGGTCCTTTCCAACCCTAACTATTCTATGATTCTAAGACAAAAAACGTAGAATTTGCTATCACTACGGAAGAAGTTTCAGGCTCTTTGCAAGAATGTGTATCTTAAGACCTTCTGTTTGGATCTTAAATCTACTCCAAGCAAAACCAAATGCCAGATCTTGATCTGCACACAAGCTATTCAAGTAGGACTTACAAACAGGGGTAACCCAACAAGCCCCTGGCTGTGGGTGAAACTAGAGACACATTTCCAGGTTCCTCTGGAACAAAATGGCGTGTTCCGTCCTGTCATGAAATGGAACATAAGATGACTCTGGCTGTTGCTATCATCTCTTGTCTTGAGAACTACTTTTGGGGCTCCTCTGGATCTTTTCCCTTCAGATGCCTACTCTACACAGTGCGCTTCTTCAGACTCCCAACCAAGCAGAAAAATACTTTCATGGGGCTTGTCAGACAAGGAACATTATTTACTCTGCATCTATACAAACTATCAGCCCAATAGCTAAAATAATGCCCATGAGATTCAACTGTCCTTTTGTCCTACGTAATTAGGTAAGATAATTTTTTTACTATTCTTATAAATATTTATTTCTTTATATTATGAAAAACCTTCCAACATCTCTAATACTGTGTAGTAGTTTTATAAGCCAAAAGAGTGCTTGAGTAATGTATCACTTTACATCACACTTAAACTGATTTCTTAGCAAAAGTGTCCCTGTGCATCAATAAATGTTTGAATTTTGTAAGGTGAGAGTGGGAAGAATGGACTGCTTTGCTAAACCTTCCACCCCATACTAGTTATTCTGGGTTAGTACAGACTGTGTTAGCATAGCCAGTCTTATTCTTGCTGTCTGAGTTCACAAGGCCTCCAAAAGCTTAAAGAATTTGAATAATCTACCTTCCTGAGATAACTGCTTTACCAAAGACACGACTATTATTTCCAAATTATTACAGCTCGTAAATGTTTCAAAACCATTATGGGTAGAATTCAGAGAATAAACTAAAAAATCATTAAAGTAATATATCCTTTGCTTCTTACATCAATGCACATATTTCTTCTGGAGAAATCATTAGGCAAATGGCATCAAACTGTCCTACACGGATTAGATTTAAGACCTCGACATATTGTAATCTTAAAGAAAATACTTCTGAAGTACACAAAGCAACAGTTGGCAGGCTAGTGGTGAGCACACAGAGTTTACAGGTCCCTCAGTGCTGTATTTGGAGCTTTCACCTCCAAAGCAGTTATCTTGGAAACACAACACAGCTTCTGTCCCATGGTCTCTTTTCTATTAATAGCGTTGCTTTAGCCATTAGAACATACAACTAGAGCAAAGTATCTCTCAAGAGATAAATTTTCCTTTCAACCTTAGCTTAGTCATAGTAAAATACTGCAACCATTTTCTTTAAAAGCCTTCTTTCTGTTTTGGCTAGGCTTGGATTAGTAAGGAGCTGAGCATACACTGTCTCTGGCATTCCTAAAACCAGCTACATATAGCACAAATTAAGTAAGATACTGTAGAAAGTCAGGACAAATGGGGTCCAAACACTTAATTCACGGACTGTTTCTAACCAATACAGCAATTAAAATTCATGTGGGCTTAGAGGACTTTCCATAGTAGTACAGCAAATAGGAAGATACACACTAACCTAAGTTGTTTAGATAAAACTACTCTTAGAGACCACAGCTCCAGTACAGCTTTCCTTCCTGTATTTGCTGTGTTGTACACAAACACACAAAAACCTTGCTACATCAGCATCACTATCAGTATCAAAGTTTACAGCTTCAAAAATGGTTAAGACTTCGTAAGTCACCCACTAAACGGACCAGCCCATAGAGGAAACCACTGACATTCATACTGTCTGAATGATAGTGGGTGGAAAGCACACCAGTGGCTTTGGATCCCTTTCTGAGCTGCTCGGTAGTGCCTACCCACCTATTGGCACTCTTGGCAGAAACTAAACCCAGGACTTTCAGATCTAGAAACATGGTCTCATATTCAAAGTCAAGGATTTAAGCAGAAAAATGCAGAACTATGAAGAGATACCTGGGATAGCTTCAGAACCAGCAGCATGTTCTGCTTAAGTTAGGCATAGCTCTAAGCAGCTTCACATACCCCTTTTCAGAGGCATGTGGCAAAGGACAGCCTGAGAGACTAGAAACCACAGTTTGCTACAGAAACTGATATGATTTTCCATTTTTGGCTTCACCATTCTGAGTCTGACTGACAGAATGTATGTACTGTACATGTATGTGACATAACTGACTTCTAGAAGACCATATGATGAAGCAGAGATTATGGTTAAAAAAAAATAATAAAAATCAGCATCTCAATTTTAAGCATTCTCTTTCCTTCTCAATCAACACCCTACTAGTCCATCAGTAACATAAATCCTCTGACACAGGAATCGAACTCCGGGTAATCACTGATGCAGAAATGCGCAGAAATGCTAGCAGGAGTGAGCCTGTTTAAATCACAGCTACTGGCCTCTGTATTTTCACAGCCCAGTAGTAATTCCTCTTGGGTTCTAGGCGTTGTAGAAGTAAGTTTCACCAATTAAAACATAGCTAACATTGTGAATGCATGACTCACAGGTGATTATATGCTTGACCAACCCACACAATACAAGCCAGAGGTACTGACTGCAGAACATTGACAGAGGTGGGGTTCACTGGCATTCAGGAAGGACAAGGCTCTCAGACTCTCACAAGGATGAAATTCTTTACATTTTTCTACCTTTCTCACTCCAGAGTGAGACTAGGGGGCACAAAATCACAAAATGGAATATATAAAAACCTTTAGAATCAGTTTTAAGTAATATTAAGTTTGATGGCTTTGTAACAGTAGCAATGGAAAATTATTGAGGTGCATGATACATAGAGAAAAAAAACAGAGTACAGCTAGAGAACATACTGAGAATTCTCACAAGATAAATCATTATAGTTGGCCTAGTTTTAAGAAAAACAG